GGACGACGACCACGACGAGGGGCGACGGCGAGGGCGTCGCCGACCCCCCGCGCCCAGGCCGCGGGCCTCGGTAGCGGCGCGCTGCTCGATGACCGAGTCGCCCACCGACACGAGGCCCCGCACCTGCTGTTCGGCGCGCTCTGCGCGGCGGCGGGCCCAAAAGGAGGATCGGATACAGACTTCGGACATGTAAGTGGTGTTTTTGTTGGAGGGCTGCTATTCTTGGTAACTTGGTAATCCCACCAGCCCTCTGGGCGTGTAGGTGGTTTAGTGTTGCGTAGTGGTTTACCTAGTGCGTTGACGTAGTGAAATCACGCACGCCCCCACACCCCCATGCGACTTACGTAATGCTTTTGCGAGGTGTATGTTCGCAGCGTCCTCACGTAGCCCGTTCGCAGGAGCGCCCCAAGAACACCCTAGGAGAATCCGTGGAGCATCTCAGGAGCATCCCAAACGCACCCCAAGGGCATCCCAGGTGTTTTTTTGGTTGCGCGTAGAATCTATTTCACCCTCCGTACAGCATGCGTTTTTTCCCTACCTAGGCTCTGCCTAGAAAAATTCTGACTCGCTTGGCTTAAAAGGGCCGGGCAGTGCAAACCGCCCCGGGCGGTTCCCCCAGTCCCCTGGGAGCCAAGCAAAAGCAACAGCAAAGGTAAAAGCAAACGTGCGGTTCCCCCAGTTGCGCTCCCTGGGTGCCAAGCAAAAGCAGAAGCAAAGGCAAACGTGAAGGCAAAAGCGAAGGCAAAGCAAAAGCATAGCATAGCATAGCATAGCATAGCGCAGCATAGCATAGCGCAGCATAGCATAGCATAGCATAGCATGGCATAGCCTAGCCTAGCCTAGCCCAGCATAGCATAGCGCAGCATAGCATAGCATAGCATAGCATAGCATAGCAGAGCAGAGCAGAGCATAGCGCAGCACAGCATCCACTATTGCTCCTGCTATATATATATATATATATTGCTGTTGCTTTCCTAGAGGCTCCAACTCCTAGGTAGGGTCGCACTGGGATAATTACGAAGTGTCCTCGCGCGGCGCGTTCGCAGGCGCGTCCGATCGACGCAGGAGCTATCGTGGGAGCATCGTGGGAGCATCCCACCAGCATCCCAAGAACCTCCCCCTAGAGCACCCCAGGAGCATCCTAAAGAATCCCAGAAGTCACTGCACCGACCTTGCAGACGTGCTGCAGCAGATTTTTGCGTGGATTCCTGTCAATGCAAAACTCCGAAACGGGCGAGTGAAAAACGACGTGAATTTAGTGTGGATTTTTTTAGTCTTCATTCCTGGCCCTAAAAAATCCGCACGAAATTCATCGAAATCCGGAGCGAAATTCTGCAGGACACTCCATGCCCATCCTATTGAAATCCTAACGAGATCCGCTCTGCGATCTTGGCGCCATGACAAAAGCGAAACGTAAACACGTAATGTTTTTGCGCAATGGCTGCTTCACTTTCCGTGCGCGGTGCGTCGTGTTTACGCAATGTCCTCGCGTAGCACGTTCGCGGGAACGCCCCAGGAGCACCCCAGGAACATGTTGGGGGCATCCTCGAAGCATCCCAAAAGCATCCCAAGAGCATCCCACGAGCACCCCGGGACAATCCGAGGACAGCGCCAGGAACAGGCTATTCACATCCCAAATGATCCCCGGAGCGTAATGGTTATACGTAATGGTTCTTACGCCACGCATACTTCACCATACATGCGATATACGCAGTGTGTTTGGGAAGTTGCGTCGCGATGCTTTCACCATTCAAGCTTATATTTCACAGCTAGAACTCAACGTCCAGCGGATGAAATTTCCTCGGAGTTCTTGTCATAATGCAGCTTGGGAGAGACCAAGGGAGCAGAGGGAGTAGCGATACCTCAACGACTTCTCGTTGTACAAATACTTTGCGGCATACCCAACTCATCTTGCACCAAATGCCACACAAAACTAGTCCAGAATAACACGTACGGTTCATGCGAACGCAGGATCCGTCATTGGTTGTGCAAACTGTATGGGGAGCTTGCGCTTCATAAGGCTCACAAGACAATAACAAAGAACGAGGGCTGAGGGAAGTGGGTGTGGGAGCGAGGGACCGAAAAAGGACGGAAGAGGGGCCGACCAGTTAACGCGACAGCACCAGTGAGACGATCGAAGGAGGAAGAGGACGACAACGAGAGAGGCAGGATGAGGAAGGTGGCGACCATTTTCCAGTGGCCTGCGGCCCGCGGGACAAGAAATCAAGGCCATCCTGAATAAACATAACCTCATAGGACGTCATTCTGCTGGTGACATTCGAAAGTGGCAACGGCGTCGCAGTTCGCAGCCTGCCAGGGGTGCAGAAGTCGAATCTGAATCTGCGTAGGCCGCCATGTCGCTGGCCAAAATGAAGAACATTCTAGGGTGCCCTCCCCCAGGATACACAAGAACCTCCGACAAACACGAAGAACATTAGAGTACGTACCCTCCCAGCGCCGACCTCGATCTTGTAGCTCGGTCCGACTGTAAGGATCGAGGAGGAAGAAGAAGGAGAAAGATCCTCGGTCCTCCTCCTGAGCGTGAGCCCCTGCAGGAGCCGAAACCCCATCGGATCTGAGGGCCCATACGAGACCCGGCACCAGCAGGACATCGCGAGCAGGCCCGTCCCTCCACAGGGCACGCTCGAGCCCAGATCCCTGACGAAATGATTTGAACAATTCTTTTCCTAGATTCTGGCCTCTGGGGCTCATCCGGCGGCAAACTGGGCGGGTATGGAAAGCTTGCGGCCCTCCTCCGTGCTCGGTGCTCCTCCATTTCTCTTCCTCTTCCTCTTCCTCTTCCTACTCTTCTTCCTCCTCCTCCTACTCCTCCTTTTCTTCCTCCTCCTCCTCCTCCACTTACTTCTCTTCATTATCATCATTACCCTCCTGGCCCGCTTCGGAGATCAACGTGCCAATTTCCCACGAACAAGGGCGGATGAACTCGTTAGCAAGGCCCCATTTTGATAATGATGTCTTCCGTGAGTGTCCCTGGATGAGGACCCTTTTTGCAAAGGACTCCTTCGGCAAATATTCATTCATAAGGATTTCTTTCGTGAGGGTTCTTGAAGCAAATATTCACTAGCAAGGCTCCTCAGTAAGATTTCTTGTGAGGGATCCCTTAGTAAGGACTCCCGGTATTGGACATTCAGCTCGGACTCCAGGAATGCCATCTAGTAGAGTTTCCGTTGGTAAGGAGTTTGTCAGTAAGGGTTCCTGAGTATCGGTTCGTCGGTAAGGACCCCTTTAAAATGGAATTCTTCAGTAAAAACCCACTTTTCAGCTATGCATCTTGTAGAAAGGATTCACTGCGCGACTACTCATTCAGTACATGTCTCCTCAGTGAGGTTTCCTTAGACAAGGGTCCTTTTGGTACGGATTCAATGGATTCAAATTAACTTAAGATTATACGGCCCTCTTCTAATAAGGATTCCGTCAGCAAGGGTTCCTTCAACAAAGACTCCTTCATCTCTTTCTGGTAGGGGTTGATGAGTCAAGGCTCATGGCTAAGGACCCTGCAGCAAGACTTCCGTCAGTAAGGACTCCTTGCGCAAGATTTGGACACATCATTTTGCATGCTCATTCTTCTTTCTCTTCCATACCTACCAAAAATACGAGGAGGAGAAAGAGAGAGAGAGAGAGATCTCGAGAGAGGAACAAAAAGGCACAGAGAGAGAAAGAGAAAGAGAGAACACCAACACCACCAACAACAACACCACCACTAACAACAACAGCAACATCAACAACAACACCAACACCAACAACAGCACCAACAACAACAATACCAGCGACAACAACATCAACACCAACAACATTTACAGTACTAATAGCAGCAGCAACATCAGCAACAACAACCCCCACCATCACCACCACCACCACCACCACCACCACCACCACCACCACCACCACCACCACCACCACAACAACAACAACAACAACAACAACAACCACATCACCAACAACATCAACCACAAATGTGCAAGACTGCGTTGGAGCTTCGCGCCATGCACATTGGTCCTTGTGGCTTCGCATGCAAACAATAGGGCAGTAAGGTAAAACGGAACATTTAGCGATACATCGTTGTTTCTTTTTCGGCATCGCCGGTGTGAGAAGGTTTTTCGTCATAATTCGCTCATGTCCCCCCTTCCTCTCCCTTACTATCGTCCTACCCTGAGACTTCGTCCCCATCCTCAGCTCTGTTTGTGGAGGCTCATCCTAGGAGAGCCTCTCAGGGGCCTCACGAAACTTATTAAGGGCTTGTTGCGGCCTTCTGGAGGCTTCTTGGGTTCCTTCTGGGGGCCTCTGGGGGACTCCCCGGGCCACCCTGCTTCCAACCCCGGTCGCCGTGAACGACTGGGTCAAGATTTGGAATGATTCGGGGGTCATCGTGGGGCGATCTTGGGCCATCATTGGGCGATCTTCGGGTCATCTTGGGGCCATGTTGGGGGCTGTCTTGGGGCTCCTCTTGCGCTGCCTGGAAGCCCTCTTGGTTAAATTTGCGGCGATTCTCTGGCCTCCTCGGCGGTATCGGACGCCCGGACAACCGAAGAGCAGAGCATTCCCCAAAGCATGCAAAAACCGTCGGGAAAGATTGTTTTTGTTGCGATTCGAATGCTTCTTGGGGGTCTTCCTTGGGTCGTCTTTGGGCATCTGCTGGGTGTCAGGGGCCGCTGAGGGCGCTCGCGGGGCCGATCGGCCGTCCTCCTGACCGACTTGCGCCTCTGTGGGCTCTCCGGAAGCCTCCTGCGCGGTCGTCGGGGCGTCTTGGGAGCCTCCTTGGGCCCTCGTCGGTGCGTCTGGGGCCCCCTTCGGGCCGCTTGGGGCGCCTATTGGGGGCATCTTGGGGCTATTGGGGATCATGCGCAATCATAAATGTTCGTTGTTTTTGTTCGAAAGTTTGGGCCTCTCGAAAGCTTCTTTGGGCTTGCCTTGGGCGGTGTTGGGGGTCTCTTGTGAGCCCCTGGGCACGCTGTTGGGCGCTGTGGGCGGCCTCGACGGCCTTAGGAATGCTGCCTTGGGCTGTCGTGGGGGCGTCTGTAGAGCCGTCTTGGGCCGCTTGGGGCACTCTTGGGGCTTGGGGGCGTCCTGGGCCGTCCCGAGGCCTTCCTGCGGCATGCCGGGAGGGCGGTACCGGCCGTTGTCCGGAGATGTCCCGGAGGTGGGAGTCAAAGCCCAGGGGGGGGCGTATATCGCTCGTACTCAGAAGGGGTCCACACGAGGTCCACACGAGGTCCACAGAGGCCCACACGGGCATCCTAGTGAGCTCTACGAGGGCGAACGCCGCTCGGCGGATTTCAGTAAGCTGATCCGCCCACCCTTCCACATTGGGCGGCGGCGGGAGTACACGAACAGTGTTGTACATGTGAAAACGACTCGATGGTGGGGGCTCCATCGAGTCCAATCCTCGAACACAAACGCACTGGCACCTGGACCCCTCGCGGAGGGGGGGCGTGTGTGTGTGTGTGTATATATATATATATACATACACAAGACTGGAGTGGCGCTTCGCGCCATGCACCTTGGTCCTTGAAGTTTGGTATGCAGGCGGAATGACAGGAAGGTCAAGCCGACAATTTAGCGATAACTCCTTGTTGCCTTTTCCGGCATCGCCGTTAAAACAATGTTGTTGGTTATCTTTCCTCCATGTTTCTTTTTCCTCCTCATTCTCGCCATACCCTGCGCATTCTCTCCATCCTCCTCAGCTCCTTTTGCGGAGGCTCCTCCTTGGAGAGCCGCTGGGGGCCTCACACAAGTTTTCAAGCTTTCTTAAAGCCTTCTGGAGGCCTCCTGGGCGTGTTCTGGGGCCTCCTGGGGGCTTCCTTGGGCCACCCTGCCTCCAACCTTGGTCTCCCTGAGCGACCGGGTCACGATTTGGAGTACTTCGGAGGGTGTCTTGGGGCCATCTTGGGCCGCCATGGGGTTCTCTTAGGGCCATCTTGGACCCCAGTTGTGCCGTTTTGGGGCTCTCTTGGACTGCCTGGGCGCCCTTTTGGATGGTCGTGGGGCGATTTTGGAGCCTCCCAGGCGGCTTCGGACGCCCAGAAGGCCGCCGTCTTGGAGTGTCGGGAAGCCGAAAAGAGGAGGACCCCCATATTTACCAAAAACCCAAAGAACATCAATGATTTTTGACTCTTGGGGCCTTCTTGGGAGTGCTCTTGTTGGAGCATTTTGGAGCGATCTTTGGCGGTGTGACGACTTCTTGGCGGTCGTCGATGACCGTATTGGGGCTCTCTGGGTCGTTTCGGGAGCGCGCCGGAACGCCTGAAACCCGTCTAGGGCCACTTTCGGGCTCTCGTGAGGTTCTCCCGGGTCGTCTGAGGGGTTGCCCGGAGGCCCGGGGAAGGCCATTTTTTTTCCCTAACCCTGCTCGCGCGTCTCCTTCCTTCCTTCCCGTCCCTCTCTCCCCCCCTGCCTTTTACCTCGCTCGTCGCCATCCCTGGGGGGCTGCGATCTGTGAAAGTGTCGCCACTTTCGAGGCCTGCCGGGGGGCCCAGCACAGTGGGTACCCACCGCAAACTCAAATGGGACCTCGCCATCCCTGGGGGGCTGCGATCTGTGAAACTGTCGCCACTTTCGAAGCCTGCTGATGGGGCCCAGCACAGTGGGTACTCACCGCAGACTCAAATTAGACCTCGCCATCCCTGGGGGGCTGCGATCTGTGAAACTGTCGCCACTTTCGAGGCCTGCCGAGGGGCACAGCACAGTGGGTACCCACCGCAGGCTCAAATGGGACCTCGCCATCCCTCAGGCCCTGGGGGGCTGCGATCTGTGAATCTGTCGCCACTTTCGAGGCCTGCTGGGGGGCCCAGCACAGTGGGTACCCACCGCAGACTCAAATGGGACCTCGCCATCCCTGGGGGGCTGCGATCTGTGAAACTGTCGCCACTTTCGAGGCCTGCTGGGGGGCCCAGCACAGTGGTACCCACCGCGGCAAATTGGACCTCGCCATCCCTGGGGGGCTGCGATCTGTGAAACTGTCGCCACTTTCGAGGCCTGCTGGGGGGCCCAGCGCAGTGGGTACCCACCGCAGACTCGAATGGGACCTCGCCATCCCTGGGGGGCTGCGATCTGTGAAACTGTCGCCACTTTCGAGGCCTGCTGGAGGGCCCAGCGCAGTGGGCACCCACCGCAGACTCAAATGGGACCTCGCCATCCCTGGGGGGCTGCGATCTGTGAATCTGTCGCCACTTTCGAGGCCTGCTGGGGGGCCCAGCACAGTGGGTTACCCACCGCAGACTCAAATTGGACCTCGCCATCCTGGGGGGCTGCGATCTGTGAAACTGTCGCCACTTTCGAAGCCTGCTGGGGGGGCCAGCACAGTGGGTACCCACCGCAGACTCACATGGGACCTCGTCATCCCTGGGGGGCTGCGATCTGTGAAACTGTCGCCACTTTCGAGGCCTGCTGAAAGGGCACAACACAGTGGGCTTCCCGCACGTCTTTCTCCTGCTCTTCGTTCCCGACTCCCCATGTCCTCTTCGAGCTTGTAGCTGTTGCCCTTTTTCTTGTATGGTTCTCCTGCGCATCATGCCATAAGCGCGTGCCCCAAGTAGCTTACATCTCAAACAACGGATCCTGCAATTTGATTGTCCATGCAAGTTTCTGCCAACTCCTCGTTTCCCATGATACACATGGGTTGGGTACGTCGCATGGTATTTTTTTCTTCCGGAGTCCTCGGCCACTAAAAACATGATTCGGAATTCAGATATGGTATACATATACACATATATGTATACATACATATATGTATATGTGTATAGTTATACAATATATATGTTTATATATGCCATACACACATATATACATATATATATGTATATATACACACATATATGTATATATATACACACGCATACTAGAACCATCGCGCGCGCTTCGCGCGCGCGCGCTCAAGCTTTAGCTAGCTTGACGGATGGCGCGTAGCGGAGGGAAGAAGAGAGGTCAGCAGTGGCAGGCAACCTGGTCGAATTAGCCACGATTGTGTCCTTCGTCCGCCGTCCTTCGTCCGTCGTCGTCGCCACCCTCGTCGCCGTCGTCGTTTGTCGTCCGTCCTCCGTCGCCTGTCGTCGCCTGTCAACCTTCCGACGTCAGTCCTCGTCGTCGTCGACTTCGAGTTTTTACGGTGCTCTTCGATTTCTGACTCCGTATGCATGTTTTTCCAGCCCCAAGACCTTCAACACGGACGTGGGATGAAAAGCCATGAAGACCTCCGTCGCCAGCGTGGGAGAGGAAGTGGGGGAGGAGGAAGATTCGGAGGTGCAACACGAGCTTAAACAAAAACGCAAATTCCATTTGCCCAAGTGTAGCGCGATCAAGCCTATGCAAAAGACGCAATCACAATACATACAAGAACACACACAATCAGTATGTAGCTATTTTGGAAGCCGTTTGTTGGTCGATTGGGAAGCCTTTTGGGCGTCTCAGGAGCGTCGGAGGGGGGGGGGTCTTGCGAGTTGCGTGGGGCTTCCTGTTGGGCTTCCAGGAGCCCAAGGCTGGAAATGTTCGTTCGGACCCCGCCTGGACCGCTGGGCTCTTGGGGGCCTCTTTCCGGCCTCCTGGATGCTGCTTGAGGCCGCTTGGGGGCCTCTTGGGCTCTCTTGGGGGCTTCTTGGGGCCTCCTCGGAGCATCCTGGACTGCTTCTTGAAGTCGTCATGGGACCATCTTGGCATGTCCTTGGGGGCCTCTTAAAAAGAGTTTTGAAGCTTTTTTGATGTCGTCTTGGGGCCTCTTGGGGGCTTCCTGGGGACCTCTTGGGGCCTCTTGGGGGCATCTTGGGGCGGAGAGCTTGATTTTTCAGTTCGCGTTCCCTCTCTCGGGCCCCTCTTGGGGCCTTCCTAGAACCCTCTTGCGCCGTCTTGGGCAGCTCTGGGGCCGTTTCGGAGCTCTCTTGGGCCGTCTTGGGGCCCTCTTGGGGGCCTCTTGGGCCGTCTTGGAGCGGTTTCGGGAGCCGCTTGGGCGGTGCTTTAGCGCCGGAAACACGAAACAGCGAGAATGCAAAAAACATACAAAACCAATGACAATCAACGATTTTGCCCTCTCGGGGCGCTCCTGGTCGGCATCTTAAAGGCCTCTTGGGGCGTCTTGGGGGCCTGCATCCAGGGCAGTTTGAAACGCATCGTGCGTCGCCAGACCCCTGGACGGCGTCTGGGGGGTGTCTCGAGACCGTCTGGGGCCGACGGGATTGCTGTCTGAGGGCTCCCCGGGGCGATTCTAGGCCTCGCAGACGGGGCCCCGGGCCCTGGGACCCACATTTGCGGTCGAGGTTCGGGCCCTCGGCCACCGGGCCCGGTGCGCCGTTGTATGTATAATCTGCGAATGGATCGAGCGAACACGACGTAGCGAATTGTAGGAAAGCGCGAGCCACGCGTTTCCACAACACCGAAAAGCCTACATCGCCGTTGGCCCGTCTACGGGAGAGTTGTGCAGATAACAGGCACGAGCAGAGATAGAAACAGACGCACCTGCTCCTCCATCTGCTCCTCCCCCTTCTCCCGCTCCCTCGGCCCCCGCACTCCCGTAGCGCGCCTCGCAACCAGCCGTGTGCAGCTGCCGCAAGCACCCCTGGCCACGGTGGGGGCTCGCCAGCGGCCCTCGGGGCCTCGCAACCCGCTCCCTCCCTCTCCTCGCCTCTTCAGTTTTCTGCTCGACTTCCTGCTCCCATCTTTGTTCTCCCCCTCCCCTCGCCTCTTCCGTTTTTTCGCCGCCGTCGCCTTCTGCTGCTCCTCCTCTTCCTTCTCCCTCTGGCGGCAAGGTCACGAGGGTGGGGGCGAGGGGGGCGGTCGTCTAGAAAGTGGAGGGGGCTGCCCTGGATTCGAGTCGCTGTGAGCAGAGAGAGGGAGAGGGAGAAAGAGAGATATAGAGAGAGAGAGAGAGAGAGAGAGAAAGAGAAAGAGAAAGAGGGAGAGAAAGAGAGAGAGAGAGAGAAAGAGAGACATGACGAGAGCAGAGCCCGCCGCACGCGTCGATTGTGCCTTCACACGGTGCCTCTCTGCGCAACCCGGACTCGCGCCCCCGCCGATCCTGGGCCCCCCAGCGGACGCCTCAGAGTTCGAATCCAGAGATATTCAGACAATGGCACCCTCGCGACAGAAGACCCCGGACAGCTTGATACAGTCACGACGGGGGCCACGATGGAGGGTCACGAGGGGCGGCCACGATGGGGGGGATCGGGGCCGGGAGAGGCATACAGATAGAGATAGGGATGGGGATATCGGATAGGCATTCGTGGGATAGGGATAGAGGCAGAGGAGTAAGGACGGCAGAGGCAGAGGGATACGGATAGAGGCAGAGGTCCACGGGAGACAACGGGAGGCAACGGGAGACAACGGGAGGCAACGCGGGACAACGCCGCCCGCGGAACCAGCAACGCACTTACGGTGGGGGGGCATTTTTTCTCTCTGCGAGGGCGAAATGCCCGTGATAAGTTGAATTCTATGCAATTCTGCGCTGCGCACGCTCGGCCGCAGCTGCGGCCGCTCTCGCCAGGCGAGCCGCCGCCTGTCTGGAAGCCAGTGGAGCTCCAATCGCGGATTGGCAGTGGATACCAGCGCCGCCCTCATCAAACGAGGAACCCTCCAGGGTCTGAAGCCTCCCGTGCACGCTCCTTAACCAGCGCCCCCACCGTGCTCGTCTCAATACACGGGACCCTGAGAGACGAGCTGCTCAGGGAGGGACCCCGCCGCGGGAGCGTTCTCCTGAACGATGACCTCCTGCGCAATCCCCGATCTCCACGAGCGGCGAACATGTTCGCAGCCTTGCTCGCGCGGTCTGGACTCTGGGGCAAGATCCCATTGACAACACGCGGTCGCACGGATACGTTCCACGCGGGGCTTCCGCGAACAAAACGCTCCGTATATCCGCCAGGCCGCGACCCAAACCCGCCAGCGGGGCCGCGGAGACGGTTAGGTGCTTCGCCGGCGAGAGCTGGCGTCACCGTCGGGCCCCACGGCGACGGCGACGGGACCTTGGCCCCCCAGGAGGAGGAGGAGGAGGAGGAGGAGGAGGAGGAGGAGGAGGATGAGGATGAGGAGGAGGAGGAGGAGGAAGAGGAGGAGGCTGGGCCCCTGCACTGCCCTCCCCAAGGCCCCCGCGACGCCGCTGCCCTTCCAGCTGGGCCCCGCCGGGGTCCCTCCCCGCCCGCCAGGGAAGGGAGAAGGTGAACGCAACGATGACACAGTCAAGATCGGTAGTAAGGGCGCAAGGTAAGGATGCAAGGCCCTCGGACGTTCCACATCAGATGCCCTTGGATGCCGAGATGAGCCGAGGAGGCAACGATGCGAGGGCGCCCTTGCGGAAATATAGCGTCGCTGCCATGGATTTTGGCTGTAACTCGCCCCGAGCCAGCCAAGCCGTGAGCGCCCTGCAACAAGTTCGCGCGAGCGGAGCCCCCCACTCCGCTAGACCCGTGATATCTGAAAGCCGGTAGGCCCCGATGATCCACGGGGCGCAGTGGCTGGTTCGCAGCGCTCTCTGGAATGCTCGCAGCTTGCTCCTGACACGCTCTGGAACAACTCCTTTGCATCCTAGGACGCAGGACAGAAAGCTGTTTGCGCCTTGCCTTTCTCCCGAGAGACGCGTGTGCGGTCAGAACCGGTCTGCGTGAATCCAGGCCTGATGGGCCGCGGAGTGTGGCGAGAGCTTGCGCGAGCCCGAGGGACGCAAAGGTTGTGAGAGAGTGCACTGTGTGGCTCCCGTCAGCCGCTCAGGCTGAATCCGCGAGTGCTGCGCGCCGCATGTCGCCCCCAACGTCGCCCCACCCAAGCTGGCCATGATGGCGTTCCGCTTCCCATCAACGAGCACGTCTGCCCGGTGGAAATAGTCCGTGAACCTTGCGGCGGCCACGAGACACCGATCAAGCGAGGACGGAACGCAAGCGGAACGAGAGGTTGGGGGGGTCTCCAAGTCTTGTGCTGGTGCTCCTCTTACCTCCGCTCCCTCAACTCCCTCCCTCCCTCCCTACCCCTTCCCTGCCCCTCCCTCCCTCCCTCCCTCCCTCGTCCCTCCCCTCCACTCCCTCCCTCCCTCTATCCCTTACTCTATCCCTCCCCCTCCCTCCCTCTCTTCCCTCCCTGCCTTCCTCTTCCCTCCCTCCCTCCCTCCATTCCTCCTCCCTAGCCCTCCCTCCAGAAGTCTCCCTCCCTCCAGGAGTCTCTGGAGGTCTCTGAGGGTCTGAAGAAGCCCCTCCGCGGAGGCCTCTGGAGGCCCGAAAAGGGCAGACCCTTTTCTACTGGCCAGGCGGCAGACAAACTTCTCACTCATCTGCCCACCCATCGGCTGAACTCGCACTGTCACAAGCACTGCGGAACACGTCTCGATACTGAGAGGTCGATGGGGACGAGGGAGGGATAGCAAACAAACTGGCAGCTTACTGGCCCACCTTACATTGGCGAGACCATGCACATAACCATAATTCGGGAGAGCACCGTGTTAGATCTGCAAGGCCTGGACGGCCGAATCGGAAAACCTAGCGCAACCTGACACTGGGGACAGATGGGGGGAGAGAAGGAGAGGGAGGGGGAGGAGGAGGAGGATGAGGAGGAGGAAGAGGAGGCGCAGTGGAAACCCAAGACGCATCAACGATGTCGCAATCAACCCTGCCTCCAAATTCCCTCTTCACTCGTCACTACAAACATGTACTTGCATTGCGGGGAATGTCTCATTGGAAAAGAACCGTTTGAGAATCCACGCTCGTGCCAAACCACTGTTCCATGGACATCAACACAACGAACAGAGTTGACTGTTGCGTCCGGGCAATCCTAAATCGCACCAGCACAGCATCCCGTGGACTTCAGCCATACGAATCCTTGAAGCTGTCACAAGCCGTCACAATGAATGTGCGCGGCGCTAAGAGGAGAAACGCGTCTTGAAAAGGTGCAGCCCCCACATCCTGGAAGCTGTTGCAAACTTGTAGTAAAATGAATATGCTCGTGGCCACAGCGAGAACCACATGTCCGAAACCACCCGCCCTCCATCCGTAGAACTCTTGCAAGCTTGCAAACCGAATGTCCGCGGCGCTACATGCGAGAATCACATTTGAAACCACTCGCTTCCATCAATGAAACTGATGCGAACTTGTAAACGAATGCGCACGGCGTTAAAGCGAAACCGCATTTTGACGATGGCCCGCCATTCATCTGTGAAACTGTGTCGAACTTTTAAAGCATGTGCACAGCACTATCGCGAGAACCATATTTTGAAAACCGCTGGCCCTCCATTCATCATTCTGTTGCAACCTTCAAACTTCAATATCATAAATGGTGAGGAAATCTCAATCGAAGCGCCGGGCCGGCCTACCGACACCTCTAGGGGTGCGCAGGGAGGAATTACTTGTAATAACAAGGGGTGGGTGAGGAGATACTGTGATAACACGAACAACACAAACTCTACGCAAACGCACAACCGTCACTGGTCGACAGCGGCCGGCCGTGAACGACCACGAGCAGCCACGGGTAAACAGTAGAGTCAAAGCAACAACGAAGGCAAAGGGAGCGTGGTCCGATGCGAGTGGCCAGAAGCGGGCGGTACGCAGAGACATGGGCATGTATCAGAAAAGGCTTTCCTTCTGCTGCTGCTGTGTTCTTACTTGTAAAAGCAATCCATTTGTTTTCGGTGCTTCAAAATGGTGCTCCCGCTGCAGCGTGGACCTCATTTTCGGATCGGCGCTTTGTTCCCGTCGTTCTGAATGGCGCTCTCGCCCCAGCGCGTGCCACTTTTGCGAATGCGAGTCTTTCTTCATCGTTGTCGCCCCCTTCCTTTCCACTCGTCCGCCTTCCCCTGGTCCTCCTGTTTCTCCCGCTCCTTTCACTCCGATTCCTGCTGAGGCTGTTCGTCCTCGTCCTTTTCCTCCCGCTCCCCCTCCTCCTCACCCGCCGCCTCCTCCTGCGCACGCAGCTCCCCCTTTCCAATTGCGCATAACACGATGTGGTCCTTTGTTGGAGTTGCAGGTCGGCTATGACACGCGTCCGCGGATATTAGCGCAATGGGAAGGGATGGGAGGGAGCGATCGGATGTCAGATGAGGTGCAAGCGCACCTAGCTTGTCTCCTGCCCCTCTCGCTCCCCCCTCCTATCCATGCTCTCCCTCCGCCTTGCCCTCCCTCCCAGCCCGCCCTAACGACGAGGGTCCTGAATGCACAAAAGAACTGGAACCTTGATTCCCTGTCCTCCATCCTCCTCTTCCTCCTTCTTCTTCCATCCTTCCTCCTCGTCCTGCTCCTGCTCCTGCTCCTGCTCCTCCTTGTCCTCCTTCTCCTCCCCTCCTACTCCTCCTCCTCTTCCTCCTCCTCCTCCTCCTTTTCCTCCCTCCTCCGACCCCCCTCGCACTCCTCTGGAGATCTGGGTACTTCTCTTCAGAGCTCGAACCCCCGTGCCTGTCCCAGTGGCGCGCCTCTGGCAAGATGATCTCGGGGCGGATATCCCGCCGTGTGGACGGGGGCGCCATGGGAGGTCTGAAGATTGTCCGAAACGTGCAAGAACCTGGATCTTCGATTTTTGATCATCGATCCTCCTCATCCTCCTCATCCTTCTCCTCCTCCTCAATCCTAATTCCTCTTTCTTTCGGACGCCTGACCATTTCGTGACAAGCCTATGCAATCGTTAAAGAGTGCGATGACCATTCCCGCGCATTGCAGAGGAATCATGATGCACTTGCCAGGATCTCGAGCAACTACGTCCCCCTAAGGCAAGGGCTTCGGCCATGAATGAGGAAACTGCCAGATGGATGAACATGCCACTCATCGAGATTGGGAAAACGTGCTGACGGCCGTCGCGGGCGAACCAGGCTCCAGCAGAGCATGAGCCAGCTCGTGTCCCCCCCATCAGAGTGTACGATGAAGTTGGCTTCGAGCGCACTAAAACCACTCAGGCCTGGAGAACGACTTTCTGCGAGTCAGTGCCCATCCATGGCGTGGTTGATGAGAAAATCCGCCGACCCTGTGTCGGCGTGTGGAAGAGGCCTTTCGCTCTGCCCCCTCTGAGTCTTTCCTGTCTGCTCCCTCTTCGTCGTCGTCGTCGCTCCTTTCCCTTTCCCGGGCCTCCCCCTCAAGTGGCGAAGCAAAATGAAATTGATCAATGTCGTAATCACAAACTTGAGCCACGTCGTCATTGAGTCGAAGGAAAGCCCCTTCCATTTCATTCCTTCCCTGCCGGGGAAAGGGGGTCCCGCAGAAGTCCCGGGGAGGGTCCCGGGTCAGATACGACGCTCCCCTCCGGGAATCTCACGGCCCAACAAAGCCCCAGGACGAGCCAAGAATGTCCCAAGAGACCCTCACGAGACCACGTCCTTTCTCCGTCAACACCTGCGGGCACCACTCCCACCTCCGAGTCTCCCCCCCTCTCAACTAACCCCCTCCATTCCCCCCCCCTCCCCTGAACCTCTGCCTCCACCTCCTCCCCCCCATTCTCCTCACCCTCCTCCTCCTCATGCGGCTCCTCCCCGTGCTCGTCCTACTTCTCCTCCTTCTACCTCGTCGTGGTCAGCGTCCTCATCTTCACGGTCGGCGGCACCAGCCGTAAGGCCTTCGCAATCAATGATTCTATCGTATTCGCGCCGGCGCCATAAGATGTGATCCCCCGACTCAGACGCCAGGGACCATTCGGCATCGATCAACTTTAAGACACGACTGGTGATCCTTTCGAACATCGGCCGGCGTGAGTCCAAGTGCCTTCAACGGCACCTGCCCGCAACGTCCTCCTCCTCCTCCTCCTCCTCCTTCTCCTCCTCCTCCTCTTCCTTCCTCCTTCCTCCTTCCTCGTTCCTTCTTCCTCCCTCCTTCCTCTTTCCTGCTTCCTCCTTCCTTCCTCCCCCCTCCCCCCCCTCCCCCTCTCTCCTCTCTCCCTCTCCCCTCCTCTCACTCCCTCCTCCTCCTCCTCCTCTCCTCCTCCACTCCTCCGCCTCCTCCTCCTCCCCTCCTCCTCCTCCTCCTCCTCCTCCTCCTCCTCCTCCTCTCCTCCTCCTCTTCCTCCTCCCCCTCCTCCCCCTCCCTTTCCTCCTCCTCCTCCTCCTCCTCCTCCTCCTCCTCCTCCTCCTCGTCGTCGGACCGCCCGCAAAAGGGGGAGAAGGGCGGCCAGCGGCGCGCGGGGCCGCGGCGGGGAACCACCACATGAGCCAGCTGGTGTACTCCTCCCCTCCGCTCCCGAACTCGCGCTCTCCGCCCCGCTGCTGGCCGCCGCTGCCGTGCCGCTCGTCGTCGTCGTCGTCGTCGTCGCCGTCGTCTCGCCGCAGCGGCCGGCAGATGGCGGCAGGAGGCAGACGGGGGAGCAGCGGAGGCCCCGCTCCTCCTCGTCAGTCTCGCGCTCCGCCAGCCGCCTCCTCCTGCTGCTCCTCTCCTCCGCCTCCTCCTCCTCCTCCTCCTCCTCCACCTCCTCCTCCTCCTCCTCCCCTCCTCTCCTCCTCCTCCTCCTCCTCCTCCTCCCTCTTCCCCTCCAGCTCCTCCTCCTCCTCTCCTCATCCTCCTCCTCCTCCACCTCCTCCTCCTCCTCCTCCTCCCTTTTCCTCCTCCTCCTCCCCTTTCCTCCTCTTCCTCCTCCTCCTCCTCCTCCTGCTTTCGTCCTTCTCCTCCTCCTCCTCCTCCTCCTCCTCGTCCTTGTCCCTGCACGCCCATTCGCCTCCTGGTTTTGGCGCTACTGCTGCCACTTCCTCCTTCGCAGCAGGGGCGGGGGAGGGGACGAGGATGACCGGGAAAAAAGTGTGTGCATGCGGATGACCGGGAAAAAGATGTGTGCATGCAGCCGCCGAGAAGAAAGAGAGAAAGAGAGAGAGAGAGAGAGAGAGAGATGAAGAGCGGGGGCGGAGGATGCTGAGGTAACGAAAGACGAGGGCGAGAAGGAAGACGAGGAAGACAAAAGAGGTATCTGGAGGTCCCAAGACGTCTCGAGAGGCCCTCCGCACGCTCAAAACCATACAGAAGAGCATCGCCCAGAAACCTCGATCCTCGACCTGGCCCTGGGGCGTGTAGTGAACCTGAGAGGTAGCAGCGTCTCTGCAGCACACCCTCCCGTCCTGAATCCTTTTCTTATCGGTTTCTACAAGCAGTGGTGCTCACTGCTCGAAGCACCCCCCCCGAATCGAAAGGGCGAGCACCTCATGGGCCTTCTCGGTGCGGGCGGAAGCTCAGTTCTGAAAAAGAGTACTCCCCCTCCTTCGAGCTATAAACAGTGCGACAAAATGGTGCCACAAAATTCCTTCGATCCTTCGATCCTCGATCTTTCTAGGTCTCCCAAGTGGGGTCGGAAAAGACGGGGTCGGAGGAGCGCGCCGCGCCGCCGATGCATCGGCGACGCGGTTTGATGTGGAGCCCGATTTGCTTCACGTCGACGTCGCCGACGTCGACGATGCACCGCCGAGGCATCGTCGGACTTTGAACGCTACGACAAGGGAACTCCGCTCTGAGCAAGAGTTTTCCTCGGCCGCTTTACATGCTGCACATTTTGGAAGCACGTGGGGATCAAAACCGACGATGCCTTCATCGAACACCTCAAATTGAAAAAGAGCCGTCCATCATCCGTGTACTTGTTCGATCTGCTCTGGGCGAGCGCGCATGGTGCCGAGGCGCGAACACCACTTCCCCGGTGCTTGCGCCCAGGGGTTCATATGCTGGACGCCCAGAGACTTTGATGGGTCTGCCGAGTCTTCGCCACGCTGCCGCCCGTAGCCGCCCCGTCCGCACTTGCTTGAGGCATTACGACTTGCCGCCCGCCCAGCTCCTCAACCCGACGGGCCGCAGCGTCGACGACAAGAAAGTCCATGCTGACGAGCGGGCGTCCCCGCGCGATGGCGCCCCGTGCGCTGGGCGGGTCGGACGAGGCCTCGCCGCGCTGCCGCCCCGTGCCCGCGAGCGGGTGCCTCCAGGGCGCCCCGTGCGCCCGGCGGGCCCGTCGAGGGCTCGCCCACGCTGCCGCCCGTGGCCGCCCGCGCGGCGCGTGGGCGCCCTGCGGGCGGCCGCACAGCCTGCACGACGGGGCCTGCGCCGCACGTGCTGCACCGGACAGGGTGCTCCACGTCGTCTGCGCCACATGATCTCTTGTAGGAAGGCACCAACTATACACCAACACCGATCCTGGCCAGGATCACCCTGGGCCCAGGATCGGTGTATACGCCCTCCTGCCTTGCGCAAGAAGGCATATACACCGATCCTGGGCCCAGGGTGATCCTGGCCAGGATCGGTGTTGGTGTATAGTTGGTGCCCTCCGATCTTGCATCGCGTAGCTTGCGTCACATAGCCTGCACCACACAGCGCAGGCCCCGCACGCCGTGCCACACGGCTTGCTCCGCACAGCTGGCACCGCACAGTCGCGCTGCACCGCACTCCATGCGCCGCCCAGCTTGCACCACTGCACCACGCAGCTTGCACCGCATACTTTACGCCACGCAGCTTGCACCATATAGCTCGCACCGCATAGCTCACACCACACTGAGCGCACAACGTATTGTGCGTCACGTTGCTAACACATCCACGATGCAACGATCCAATACAGCTCAAGCGGCCCCCACGAGAGCTCCCAGGCGGCCCACGATGCCCCCAAAACGGCCCAATAGGTCCCCAATGTGGGCCAAAGAGAGGCCCCAGAGGGGGAGCACGAATCTACATTTCGAGCCCTTCGCCCCAAGATGACACCCGAGACCGTCAGGAGGCCGCCCAAAGCCCCCCCCCACAAACTCCAGGAGGCCCCCAAGAGGCCCAAATCAGGCCCCAAGAGGCCGCCAAGAAAACCCCGAGAAGCCCCACCACCCCAAAACCGAATCCAAGAGGCCTCCAACAGGCCTCCCAAAAAAGAGATCCCCTCAGGCATCCCATAGGCCTCAGACCTACAACCCAGGCGCGATGGTGGGATGGGGCGAAGGCCACTAGATATACGGAGAAGGGATGGAGGACGAACGTGAGGATGAGGCCAGAAAGATGGAGAAAAGAAAGAGGGAAATGAAGAGGTAGATACAGGAAGAGGAAGACGTCCCGCCTGGGCATAGAAGACCGGGATGTCCAGCTCCAACAGCAAGTTCTCGAACTCCAAGCCCGGTAAATACCTTCAGGCCGCCGCGGGAGGGCGACGACGGGGGGGGAGGAGGAGGAGGAGGAGGAGGAGGAGGAGGAGGAGGAGGAGGAGGAGGAGGAGGAGGAGGAGGAGGAGGACCAAACGTACCCTGAGGGCGAGTCCCGATCCAGCTCTAGGCGCGGAGCGCCAAGCGCGCTGCACCAGTGACTCGCGTGGCTGAGTCGTATGTATGATAAGCCGAAACGGCCAGATAATCCTTCGATGTATGGTAAATGTGGAAGGCAAGGACGGTGGCTTCGACAGCCTGGAGGCGCGTGATCTCACAGTCTTCTGTGCCGTACTCGGTCGGGGCACCGAGGCCGAGCCAGAGGAGGGGGTCCGAAGGAAAGACAAGCCGCATCCAGCTTAAGGCGACATGGTGGCGCATCCGATGGCACATAAAGTAGTGAGCTATCGCATCAGGGCCTCCACATCCAAAGATACAGTCACGAGTGTGCCGCGAAACATGCATGCGTGCACTCGTGGTCCAGCCTCCGCACACGCTCTTGGTGTACGCCCGCAGCCACGCAGGCCTGACTTGCTCAAGACACTCACGCACAAGAGCCCATCTCGTATCAAGAGCTGGTGGACATGTAAACTGCCACTTAGTAAGCCTGCGGGCGATCGCGACAAACAATATATCAGGAAGCACAGCGTGCATGAGCGAAGTGCCTACAACTCTCTGAAGCTTGGGGGGACGAGCCTCCTGGAAAGCACTGCGAAGCTCTCGGCGCCCCTCAGCCCGGGCATTGTCCCAAACGCGAGGCGAGAAGGGGAAGAGAGGGCGAGAAGGGGAGTATGAGGAGGAGGAGGAGGAGGAGGAGGAGGAGGAGGAGGTGGAGGAGGAGGAGGAGGAGGAGGAGGAGGAGGAGGAGGAGGAGGACGAGACGAAGGCTGAGAGGAGGAGGAGTCGGGCGTGTCCCCCTACAGGGGGATCTTCGACGAAAAACAAAAAACACTCAAAGAATGCTCCCAAATCGTCAAAAATACTCAAACAATAATCCCCAGACTATTTTTTTACTATCTTTGAATATTCCCCCTGTCGAGGGACAGGCCCGACTGAAGAGGAGGACGAGCAGACGACCCAACAGGCATCCGCGATGCTGCAGTATCCCCTCCCGTCCCAGGCCCTCCCCTCACGAGTCGCTGCAGACATGCCCTCCCGCTGCGGGAAGGACCCTTTTCCTGGACGTTCGACGAGCGCCCCCTGGGCCTGCCGTTGCATTCGAGCGATACCCCGGCTTCCAAATGATCCACCTTCGAGCTATAAGAAACGCCAAAGCAATGGCAACAACATGCAAGAGAGTACCCGACGAGATACCAACTCTGAGAACGTCTGCCCCCCCATTCCCGAAAAGGTTGCGCACCTTGAACGTTCCGGTTGTGACATTTGGCGAAGTCTCAAGCGATAACACTATTTTTGCATACTTTTTGAACTTGGGGGCATGAAATTGAAAGAGGCACAGAGGCCGCCAAGACGGCCCTGGATTACCCAGGACGTTCCAAGAAAAATCCAGGACGGCCCGAAGACACCACGAAATGCTTCAAAATACGCTCCAACGCGCTCAACAAATCTCCAAGCAATGTAAACCGGCAAAGCACAACGGGCCCCCAGATGGCCCCACAACGACAGAATAATTCCTGGGGACAGGCTCATACCGTCCCGATATGGCTCGAGCAGTGTCAGGTCGTCGAGCCAAGATCAGGGGAGGCGGGAGGAAGAGGGACAAGGCGGATGCGGGCAGGAAAACTGACAATGAGGAGGAGGAGGAAAACACCCGTCTGGCTGGCTATCACACTTCTGCCAAATTTTCTGCCCGCACGCACTTGCTGAGATCTGGGAAAATCGTATGTTTCAGCAGTCGCATCCAGACCCCGCATTCTCAACTCACCACGCGGCGCATCCACATTGATTTACAGTAGGAGCTCGAACACAAGAAACCTTCCAGGAGAAACCTGGCCATAGACCCCAGGACGTCCACTGATTTTTGGTGTGGGAGCGTCGCGCTCTTCATCGCAAGGACATCGAGACCCAAGAAGCCCAGGGCACCCTGGAGGCAAGCAGGGTGCTTCTTGGCATGGGTCTCCACTGTAGCATGCACCCGCTGCGCGCGCCCGTGTTAAATACCGCCGTGCGGGCCGCACGCGCGCGCGCCGCGCGCGCGCGAGTCGAAGTCCCTCCCAAACCCATCGGTTTTCGAAACAGCTCGTCCACAATTTTCAAACAGGGCTCGAGTTAAACAATGTTTTCCGTTTTCGTTTTGTTTTCGTCATCCCTAGTTCTGTCTTCGTTCCACATTTGCTGCAAAACGAAATCAAAACGAAAACGGTCCACGAAATTGCCGAAACACCGTTTAGCTCGAGCCCTGTTTTCAAACACATACGAAACACCAACGGTTTTTCGAACATAAGGACTGTCAACGTTCTGGCATTTCCGCGCGCGCCCTTCCTCGCATTCCCTTCATCAGTGCCACTGCGCCACCGCCGTTGTTGTCATCGTCAATCGCCGCCCGCTCACTCCACCTCAGTGGAAATCTAACGGTGGATTGACCATGGGTATCACCGCCGTCCTCATCAGATAAGGAATCCTCCAGGGTCTGGCGCCTCCTGGGACTATTCCTTAACAAACGCCTCCACCGTAGTTTTCAAACACATATGAAACGCCAAAAAAATTACGAACACAAGATCTGCCAATCTTCTGGCATTTTCGCGCGCGCACTTCCTCACATTCCCTTCACCAATGCCACCGCGTCACTGCCGTTATCGTCATCGTCAGTCGCCGCCACTGCCGCCACCATCAGCCAACCACCTTCGTCATCGACACATGGACTTCATCATCGTCATCGTCGTCATCAGCATCGGCGCCGTCATTGGCCTTGCCGTCGTCATGGTTATCATCGCCACCACCAATGCTACTATCATCATCCTGGAAGCCGTTGTCAACGGACGTCTTCATAAGACTGCGCCCGCCCGAACCACCGACCCGCTCTGAAGTGTCTGCGCGCCAGCGCGGCCTTCGAAACGCGTTGAGAATTTCCCATGGGTGAGCGCCATCGCTGCCGCATCAGTTGTACCAAACCAGCTGGCCGCTCTGCGCGCGAGGGTGCGCGCGCCAGCTCGGCTGCAGAGATACGCCAGCCAGTGCCAAGCAATCATTGCAATCGCGGCTGCATGGGTTTTGCAAAATAAGTTGCAGGTGGGAGGGTGGGCTATATGCGCGAGCAGTGGAATTGCACCACATATCTTACCCCACATGGCTTGCATATCATAGCTCGCACAACGTGGCCTTACACCGCATAGCTCTTACCTCCGCGCTGCACGAACTGACCGTTTGGGGCCTACGCTGGCTACTGTTTGCTTTCGACCTAATGTTTGTTTCAACCCCGGGTTTTTCAACTTCGTCGTCGTCCCCGCGAGGCCAAGGCCGCTCCCAAGAACGGGGCGCCTCCTGGACGAGGTCAGCACCCAAGGCCGCCGGGCGAGCGTCACGATCGCGACGCGGCCGGCGGACCTCGGGAGCGGTGGCGGCGGCCACTTGTTCACTCTCCTCCTGCTGCTCCTCCGCCTTCAGGAGGGGCCATCCTCCTCCTCGTCTTTCTCCCCCTTCTCCAGGAGGGGCTGCTCGTCCTCTTCCCCCCCCTCCTCCGCCTCCTCCTTCTCAAGGAGGGGTTGCTCGTCCTTGTCCTCATTCTCCTCCAGGGGGGGCTCGTCCTTCTCCTGCTGCTGCTGGTCTTTCTCCTCTTCCTCTTCCTCCTTCCTCTCTCCCCTCCTTGCCCTTCTCGAGGAGGGGTTGCTCGTCCTCTTCTTCCTTTTCCTCCCTCTTCTCCTCTTTTTCCTACTCCTCCTCCATCCCTTTTCCTTCTATAGATATCTCCTCCCTGTCGCACCCCGAGACGTGTCGGTAAGGTCGACCAGGCGTTTCGTCTGAGACTTCCTCACAATTTATGACCCCGAATTCGTAGGGGCTTCACGGACGGAGGGCGGGCCATTTTCAGAATGTGGCTCTCGCCTTAGCGTCGCGCGCATTCGCCTTAAACGTTTGCAGCAATTTCTCGGATGGGGTACGGGCAGTTTTCCAAATGTGGCTCTCGCCCTAGTGCCGCGCGCATTCGCTTCTAAACCTGGCAAACAATTCACGGACGGAGGGCGGGCCGTTTTCAGAATGTGGCTCTCGCCCCAGTGCCGCACACATTCGTCTTACACGTTTGCAGCAATTTCTCGGATGGGGGACAGGCCGTTTTCAAAGTGTGGCTCTCGCCTTTAGCGCCGCGCGCATTCGCGGATAGAAGGCGGGCCGTTTGCAAAATGCGGCTCTCGCCCCAACGCCACGCACATCCGGCTTAAAATGATGCAACTGTTTTGCGGGTGGGGGGCTGGTCGTTTTCAAAATGTGGCTGTCGCCCCAGCGCCACGCACCTTCGTTTTGAAAGTTTGCAGCAACTTCCCGGATGGAGGGCGGTTCCTTTTCAACACGTGGCTCTTCCCTTAGTCCCGCTCACATTCGTTCGCACGTCTGCAACTGCTTGAACTATTCATATGGCCTACGTCCCAAGAGCAGTGTTCCAGCACGGCTTAATCTTGTCAGAAGGCAAAAAATCGTGCCGATTCGCAATGCTGAGTTCCCAGAACTCCCAAGGATGATGTTCCGACGCGTTTCCGGGTGGCCAGGGCGCAACTGTAGCGATGATTCGAGGCATTGAGAGCCCAAGAATTCTAGATAATAAACGGTTGAGGGTTCTCAGACGGCTGTCTCCTAACGGGGCGCTTCCTGCAGTGGAAACACATTCTTGTAGGGACCTATGAAAGGGAAACTTGGAGGGAGGGTTTATTGCAGCATCGTGGATGCGCCTTGGGCTTGCACTATTCCTCCCACTTCTTCTCCCTCTTCCAAGGGGGCTACTGTTCCTCACTATTCATTTCCTCCTCCTCCTCCTTCTCCTCGTCCGTCTCCTCTCATCCTCCTCCCTCCTCAATGTTCCTCCTACTTCTGCTGCTGCTTCTCCTCATGCTAAGTGCTGCCCTCGATCTCGGATGAACGATGCGGGAACTTTCGAGCTTTTATTCGGCATTTAGCTCTTTTTCGAGTCTCCAGCAGCCTCTAGAAACCTCCATATGTTTTTTTCACAGTGGTGACCTCCACCTATGTTTGTCTGAGAGAAGAAAGGAGCGGACAACATGCCACAACAACAAACGTCGGTACGTGGGTGCCAGCCAGACAGAACGCCGAGTGTAAGCACATCTTGATGAGACAAGAAGTTTCTGGGCACAAAGAAAGCGGTTGCACTTGAATGCTGTTTTATTCCTCACCAGCCGTATGGAAACGGTTATTCATAGTACCGAGAGGGAGGGGCAGGAGAAGGAGGAGGAGGAACATGCTGCTGCTGCTGCTGCTGATGATGATGATGATGATGATGATGATGATGATGGTGATGCTGCTGCTGATGATGAGGAGAAACAAAAAACGAGGAGGGAACTGATGTAAGTGGCAAGCTCGAACGACAACATTCGATATCGCACATATTTGTGGCAAAAACATGGCTGAACGCATCGTCATACGAGAACATATGCAAGGCACAAAGACAGCGGTTGCACGTCAAAGCCGTATTTTTCCTCATTGAGCCTCGGATGTACTTCTGAGGAGATGCAGGAGTAGGATGTAGAGGTGGGGAGGTCGGGAGGGCCTCCTCCTCCTCCTCCTCGCTCCTCCTCCTGCTCCTCCTCTTTCCTGCCCCCCTCCTTTTCATGCCAAGTTGCACTGGCCCAGCACAGGATGTCAAACTCGTCTCGTCCAGAAGCGAGCAGAGAGAGAAGCGACGTCGTGCAAGCAGAAATGCTGCTGCGCAGGAAGGATGGAAGAGTGGTAGACACCTCTTCCTCCCATTCCCCTCCCCCCTCCACCCCCCTCCCCGTCCGCCTCCTGCTCCTCCTCCTCGTCCTCTTCCGCATTCTCCCTTCTCCTACATTATGCCTTCGTCTCCTCCTCATCCTTCTTCTTCTTCTTCCTCCTCCTCTCATTATCCCTTCTCCCCTCCCCCTCTCATCGTCCTCCCCTGCGAGAGGATCGCCGCCGCCCCGTGCGTGGCTCCAGGACCCCAAAATGGGCCGCAGCGCGCTCCGAAATATTACTTGTGAGCACGGCACCTGCTCAGAACCCTGCGAGAAATACGACGCGAGGAGGAGGAGGAGGAGGAGGAGGAGGAGGAGGAGGAGGAGGAGGGGGAGGAGGAGGAGGAGGAGGAGGAGGAGGAGGAGGCACCTGTTCAATACTTTCATTTTAGGTGCGATGGCGACCGATGCCTACGATATCCCGATCCCCAACTCCGGCGGCGACCTGGATCTTGACGGCAATCCTTGCCCGAGCTAGCGTGATGGTGCCGCGCCAGATTCACACTTCCTCGCGCACCTTGGACACATACGACTTCCCGTGGCGGACAGTCGCGACGCTGAGCCACGTCCCACTGGAAGCGCGGCTCTCGGTGGCTTCGCGACGACACCACCACCAACACAGCACCAACCCAGACACCCTTCGCGTGCCGGCACGCACAGCCGCGACGCCGCGCCACGTCCGGCTGGAACTGCTGTGCATGGCCCGGCGCAGGGGCACCACGCGGGCTGCTGGGCGGCGCGACGGGCCGTGCGCTGCCGAGCGTTTCCGCCCAGCACGCTTGGGCTCAAAACTCGTTGAGCTCACTGGGTGGTGTGGGCTGCAGACGCAGGGGCTCGCGGAGGCTGTCCTTGCGTCCCTCAACGGTGCTGCCTCGGACGTTTCTTGGGCGCGCAGCAAGCAATGGTTCACGGAACCGAACAGAAACCTTGCGTTTGAACTGTGTGCGAACGCAAATGACGACACAAACCTCTATTGGACGGGTGATGCTCGCACGGACGGGGTGTCCCTGTTCGCTTCGCTCCACGACGCCATCATGGCTTCTGTCACGGCGAACACCGCAACACTGCACGACTAATTTGCGCCCCCAATGCCAGTCTCACGCCAAGCAACAACGCGCCCTGAGTTTGTGGCAAGCGGAGCTGCTCCGTGCTGCATACTCTGGGCCGTCCAGACGCCGCGTTCCAATGTTTGCGTCAACTTTTAAACCAATTGGATGTCTTTCGAATGCCACTTGAAATAATGGAGTTGACCTCCCCAGACAAACCGGACGCCGTCTGCAAGATCGCAGAGGTAAAAGCAAGGCTCTGGGCTTGAGAAGCATGCTCTTCGCAAGACGCGAGGATACCAGCAAACGCAGTGCGCGCTGGCAGAGACGACAAAAGACAGGCCAAGAACAAAAGAAAGCCCAACGGCAGCAATGGCAAGGACCACCAAGCTTGGATCACATGTTCACTCTACCTCAGCGGATACTGCCGCTGGGGCACTGACTGCAAGTTCTTCCACACAACGAACGGCCCAGAAACGCCACGAGCACGCATCTGCCATCAGCCTGGACATTGGGGCAACGAATGCTCTACAAGAACTCTGAGGTGGGGCCTGGGGCAGGACAGGGATTGCCTGGCGTTGGGGCCCAAGCCGAAATGGAAGCAGAGCGGCGCCAACAACAGCTGGGAAAGCGCAGGAAAAAGATGGGGCACCGCCATGCCCACGTCCGCGCCTCCAGGTCTCGAGCTTAGTGGGCCCCGGGAACGGCAAATCCGTTTTTCCACCGTTTCCGAAAAAATGACTCTTGAACATGGACATGGGGAAAACGTCGACCAAAAATGGCACAATAACGGCTCCAAGATTGGAACCAGAACAAGAACCGGGAAAACAAGCGGCGACGGAGTCGGCAACAAAAACGGCGTCGGATCCGGCAACAAAAACGGCAAAACGGAAATGGTAAAAAAACGGCCCTGTCGTTTCCAGGGCCTACTGAGGTCTCGAGTCTGGGGAGATCCAGAAGCGCAGCCGGATCGGAGCCGGCGCGCTGGCCGGAGAGGCAGCCGGATTGGAATCGGCGCCAACCCTCCCGCTCCTCCTCCTCCTCCTCCTCCTCCTCCTCCTCCTCCTCCTCCTCCCTCCTCTTTCCTCCCTTCTCCCTGGTTCCTTCTCCCTCCTCCCCCCTTTCTCCTCTCTCTTCCCCCATCCTTGCTCCCTGCTCCATCCTCCCTCCTCCCTGCTCCCTGAGTCCTCTTCCCTTCTCCCCTCTCCCTCCCACTCCTCCTCCTCCTCGTCTTTCCTTCGTCCCCCGCTGATCTCCGTCGTCCTCCCTCCTCCCCCCTCCCATCTCCCTCCTCGTTTTCCCCCTCCCTCTTCCTTCCTCATCCTCCTCGTTCTCCCTCCTCCTCATCTTTCTCCCTCCTCCTCCTCCTCCTCCTCCTCCTCTTCCTCCTTCTCTCCTCTCAGTCTCTCCTCCCTCCCTCCCCCGTGGCCTCCCTCCCTCCGACCGAGGGTCCCCGACTCGTGCCCAACCCCTCCTGGGCCAGGCGGCCTCGCGGAGGTCAGCACGGCCACAACGAGCTCCGCGTGCTGCTGGAGGTCCCTGCCCAGCGCCCCCCTTGCTCGTTGTCGTGGTCGTTGCCGTGGTCGCCGTCGAACTTTTCGGAATCCTTCTGTATTTCGGCTTTGATGCAAGATCGGCGTGTTTTGGCATGTTGTTCCTCCTGGGGAATTTTCGTCGCCACGGCGGCGCACCCCTTGATACGCCCATGGAGCGATCGGGGTCGTCGTCGTCGTCGTCCTCATCCTCCTCCTCCTCCTCTTCCTCCTCCTCCTCCTTCAACCTCCTCCTGGGTCCTCCTCCGTCCTTGTCCTCCGCCTCCTCTTCCTCCTTCCTCCTCCTCCTCCTTAGCGTGCCTCCTTCTCGTCGTCGTCGTCGGCGTCGTCGAGGATCGAGGATTGCGGATTGAAGTTCGTGGATCGGAATTTCTTGGCACCTTCGATGTCTTCGGCCGTCTTTCAACATTTGGGTCCTCTGAAATCCTCCGAATGACGACAGTAATCATCACCGTTATCGTCGTCGTCGAAGGTCGATCAACATGTCTGGAATTGTTTGGACGCCCGTGCCGTTTCTGGACCCGCAGGAGGCCTCTGGACGACGTCAGTCGTCTTCGTCGTCGTCGTCGTCGTCGTCGTCGTCGTCGTCGTCGTCGACATTGGATGAGGCGGAGGAGGAGGAGGAGGAGGAGGAGTAGCAGGAGGAGGAGGAGGAGCAGGATGAGGATGATGATGAGGAGGAGGAGGAGGAGGATGAGGAGAGACGGGGGATGAATCTGACGAGCAAATCCTGATACGCTTTGGCCTCGCAGCGGATGCCGTACAGACGCAGGACTGGTGCACCTCTGCAGCGCGGAGCCATGCAACTGAGCGATCCCATCACGCGTCATGGGCCTCAGCGTACGCGGTACAGAAAAACACGCGCCGACGCTGTGCTACACCGAATGCCGCAACATCATCGTCACGGGCGATGTGCTTCGCCTGCAACGCTGCCCTCGTGATCAAAAATGCATCGAGTGGCCCGAGCGCCGAGAGGGCGGGCCCCGCTGCCGACTGCGCCAAGAGCCGCGGCGGGCGTGGGCGGGCTTGGCCTGGCGGCGCAGGGAGGAAGGAGGAGGTCGGCGGCGCGTCGGCGGCAACGCGGACACGCCCTGCCACTGCCGCTCTGCCCCCCCCCCCCCCACCCCCCGGGGTGCTCTGGCGGCAGGGGGGGGCGGCGAGGGGAGGATGGGGGGGGGATGACGACGAGGACCAGGAGGGGGGGGGGATGGGGAAGGGGGGGGGGATTCTGGGAGGTGCTACGGGATTCTAGGAACATCTCAGGTGCTCGGGTCAGGGGGGGATGGGAGATCATCGGGCACACCAAGGGGGGGGAAGAGTGCGTGGCTCGCTCGCGCCGCGGAGGGCCGCGAGGCAGCAGCACTGGGGCGAGGAGAGGGCCGAGGAAACCGAAGTGGGTCCTGGGTGGTCGGGCACCCCCGTGACTGTTTTTGGCTGCTTTGCTCTCGTGCTGTGGGGATGGCGGCTGTGACCGCGGGCGCGGGGGAGTTGTCTTACAGCCGAAAGTATGATCAAACAAATCATCACTTAAGAACCCTGGGCCGGCTTTCCGGGAATTTATCAAGACGAGCCTGGGCCGATTCTTGTTGTTGAAGCTAGAGGGGCGAACGCGCTCAAGAAACTGGGCCAGCTTCCCAGCAAGTTGGTAAAGAAACGCTGGGCCAGCTTTTGGAGAGGAGGTTTCTGAATCAGATGCTCGACTGTAATTTGGAGTTGCCTGGGCGCCCCCAATTCAAGGCGGGGAGCGGTCGAGCACCCAATGACGCACGACCGATGCGCAACGCGCATTCGGTACGATGCGCGTTCCGCCCCGCGGTGGGCATCCTGGGAAGAAGGCGTGGCTCAGGCCACTGGGGCGTCGGCGCACGAAGTCCGCATCGTTTCCTGCCAAACCTCATCGCGCACGACGAAAGATGATCTAGGATCTACTGATCCGGGTCAATCCAAGCCCTGGTCAAACACGATTTGCAGGATCCTGCAAGCACGCTAGCCCGGGTCAGTGCGCCCCCGGCTCTGCTAAATCCTGCAAGGTCCAGCGCTCTGGCCGACCCCCGTTTGCATTGACCCTCGTCTCAAGGCCCTCGAAAAGAGTTCCCAGACGGCAGACCGGGAGACCAACGAGCTCGCTTGTGTCCACGAGGAGGGAAGCGGACTGTGCCTGCACCGTCTTTTTCGATGCCATGGTCGGGTAGCGTCCTGCACTTCCATAGCGGCGTGGATCTCTCGGCCCCCCCCTACCGCTGCGCGAGCGGCTTGCGATCGACGCGTCGGATGCCCTTGCACCTGTTGGCTGTGAAGCTTGGGCCCCCGGGGATGGACCGAATGACGCCGAGGAACTTCTTGGCGCCAATCTTGGTGCGCACGGTGCGCGCACTCGCGCTACCGAGGTGCACTTGCTGCAAATCACCGAGATCTTGGGCAACATGGCCTTCTTCCAATCCTCCATGGTGCGAGGGGAAGCAAAGGCGGCGTGGGCGCGCCCGGCAACACCCAGAGAAGCGTGGGTACCAGATCCTGAAGCGGCAGCCCCGCTGTTCTCCCCTGACGTCGAAACAGTTTGCTGGCAACTGCCCATCCATCTCCTCGCGCCCTTGACCAGCAGCGCAGTTTGGTCATTAGCCCTGTCCCACGCGGAGAGGGCATTGGCACAGTCACGCGAATCTACAGCCTCGCATACCTGTGGTCCCCAGTAATTTAGAAACTAGAACCACGCGCGCGCTTCGCGCGCGCTTAGGTTCTGTCGAGTCACAGACCCAGGAATCGTTGTGAGAAGAAATTGGTGACGCGAAGCGTCGTGGGGGCGTCCTTGGACGTCTGGGGTCTCCTGGGGCCTCTTGAGGGGCCTCCTGGGGGCCTCCTGGCGGCCTCTTGGGGCGGAAGGCTCGAGCTTGCGGTTCGTGGTCCCCCTCTGGGCCCCCTCTTGGGCCCGTCTTGGGGCCCTCTTGGGCCATCTTGGGCGCCTCTTGGGCCGTCTTGGGGCCCTCTTGGGCTGTCCTGGGGCCCTCTTGGAAGCTTCTTGGGCCGTCTTGGGGCGGTCTTGGGCGCCTCTTGGGCCGTCCTGTAACGTCGGAAAGCCCAAAAGACAACTTTGTTGAAAATGTACGTTTTACGAAGGGAATGGGCCAATTTTTGCGTCTAGGGGCCCTCTTGGGACGCATGTTGGAGGCTTCTTGGGGCCTCTTGGGGGCGTCCTTGGACGTCTGGGGTCTCCTGGGGCCTCTTGAGGGGCCTCCTGGGGGCCTCCTGGCGGCCTCTTGGGGCGGAAGGCTCGAGCTTGCGGTTCGTGGTCCCCCTCTGGGCCCCCTCTTGGGCCCGTCTTGGGGCCCTCTTGGGCCATCTTGGGCGCCTCTTGGGCCGTCTTGGGGCCCTCTTGGGCTGTCCTGGGGCCCTCTTGGAAGCTTCTTGGGCCGTCTTGGGGCGGTCTTGGGCGCCTCTTGGGCCGTCCTGTAACGTCGGAAAGCCCAAAAACAACTTTGTTGAAAATGTACGTTTTACGAAGGGAATGGGCCAATTTTTGCGTCTAGGGGCCCTCTTGGGACGCATGTTGGAGGCTTCTTGGGGCCTCTTGGGGGCGTCCTTGGACGTCTGGGGTCTCCTGGGGCCTCTTGAGGGGCCTCCTGGGGGCCTCCTGGCGGCCTCTTGGGGCGGAAGGCTCGAGCTTGCGGTTCGTGGTCCCCCTCTGGGCCCCCTCTTGGGCCCGTCTTGGGGCCCTCTTGGGCCATCTTGGGCGCCTCTTGGGCCGTCTTGGGGCCCTCTTGGGCTGTCCTGGGGCCCTCTGGGGAACTTCTTGGGCGGTCTTGGGGCGGTCTTGGGCGCCTCTTGGGCCGTCCTGTAACGTCGGAAAGCCCAAAAGGCGACTTTGTTAAAAATGTACGTTTTACGAAGGGAATGGGCCAATTCTTGCGTCTAGGGGCCCTCTTGGGACGCATGTTGGAGGCTTCTTGGAGCCTCTTGGGGGCGTCCTTGGACGTCTGGGGTCTCCTGGGGCCTCTTGAGGGGCCTCCTGGGGGCCTCCTGGCGGCCTCTTGGGGCGGAAGGCTCGAGCTTGCGGTTCGTGGTCCCCCTCTGGGCCCCCTCTTGGGCCCGTCTTGGGGCCCTCTTGGGCCATCTTGGGCGCCTCTTGGGCCGTCTTGGGGCCCTCTTGGGCTGTCCTGGGGCCCTCTTGGAAGCTTCTTGGGCCGTCTTGGGGCGGTCTTGGGCGCCTCTTGGGCCGTCCTGTAACGTCGGAAAGCCCAAAAGACAACTTTGTTGAAAATGTACGTTTTACGAAGGGAATGGGCCAATTTTTGCGTCTAGGGGCCCTCTTGGGACGCATGTTGGAGGCTTCTTGGGGCCTCTTGGGGGCGTCCTTGGACGTCTGGAGGCCATCTTCAGCATCTCGGAGCCCTCTTGGAGGCCTCTTGGAAGTTTCTTGGGCCGTCTTGGGCGCTTCTTGGGCCGTCTTGTCTGACTGGGGAGGCCTCCGGCAAGCCCCGACGAGCCTCCGGGCCCCCCGGGGCGCACATTTGTGGTCGAGGTCCCGGCCCCGGGCCCCCGGACCCGGTGCGCCGTTATATGTATATGTCGGCCCACGTTCTTGCGCCGCCTCGTAGAGTGCCTGCTTGGCCAGAATATCTTTGAGGATCCCGTTCCGTTCTGTTCGGCGAAGTGGTCCTTGGTGGCGCTCATGCGCTTCTCAACCGTGAAGGTGGTTGCTTTGTATGTGCCAGATACGGAATGTCGGTGTTTTGCTCCACGATGGCAGTTGGATTGATGCGTTGTCTATCCTCAAATCGTGCTGCCGCCTCTTCACACAACTCGGTATGCGGATCGCTTGTCTGGGTCACGGTATCGTGCGCTTCTGGGTCGGTGAGCTTGGGATGTGGACGCCTGGAGGAGGAGGCGGGATCAGGGATCATAGAGGATGGAGAAGGGAACGTAACAATAATTCTTTATTCAGCAAGGTTACCTTGATGGTGTCCCAAGCGGTGCGCAATGTATCGCACA